GCTTTTGTGCCCTACAGAGGAGAGGGTGAAGCCCTCGTGAAAGGTTATGGTTGGCCTTTCCAGTAAATACAGTTGATTTCGATGCAGATATAGTGAATGAGTGTGTTGGGCCAACAGGTTTGTGTAGATCAATAAAGTATGATGAGAATAATCTGCATTGCACCTTTCAGAGAGATTTAACTCTGAATAAGAGCTTGATAACTCACAGGAGAGGTTTATTACATGATCATAAAGTGACACTGGTTTACACTGACAGTGACCGTTAGCTTAACTTAGCTTAAAATATCTAAACATTCTTAAATCAGTATACATTTACTTAAGAAGCAAAATTAAGTTTATTATGTCTTGTTTTCTGGACAATGTATCAAAATTAAGTGACTTTATGCACAAAACAAGGAAAAAAATATCTGCAAATCGGGTAAGAAAAATAAACTTAATATATATATATATATTGAGCTAGAATTTTTTTTTTTTTTGCAGCATTCAGGTAAGAGGCCTTAAATCAGCTTAAGAAGAACTGTGCTATTTATGAACGGTCTGGACTGTAGATAATTTTTTGCCAGGTGGACTTTTAAAAGGAGCAAAATCCAGGACTCAGAATATCCATAAGGATGGGCTCTTTTGACTTGGCCCAGTAAATGGCACCCTAGCAAAGCACCAAGGACACTTTAGGAACTGCATAGCAACACAATAAAACACTCCAAACAACAAATAACAAAATTCCATGCACCATGCACAACTCTAAAGCATCACAAACGGCATGGACAAGGCTTTTTCATTTTCTTCAAAATGTATAAAAGTCTATTTAAAAATATGTAACAACATTTGGACTGCTTCTCAGTGAAGATTGACACTTATCTGTCAGGACAGATGTCCATCTCTGGTGTTTCACAGAGTTCCCACAGATTTTGTCCCCTTTTGAGATGGTGCTTTCCATTCTGGTTTTTGAGGACTTCCCTAAAGTTCAACACACATCAAAATGATGGACATGCATGAGTGGTCTCTACTCATTCTGCAAGAAGTGTGTGATGTTAATGGTTTCTTATGGTCACATGTACTTCTGTGTTTCAGGAGAGAATCTTGTATGATCAGTGGTTTGTAATTAAACTGAATGCATGCTCTTGTTCTTCAGGTCAGCATAGAGGCATTAAGACAGCTGGATGAATATCTGTTTGAGACGTACATCGAGAAAAAATCTGATCCTATCGTCGGCTCTCTGGAGTCTGGCATCTATGCCGGATACTTTGACTGGAAAGACTGCCTGCCACCTACAGGTAACACACACCTCAATCATGTAATCTGTATGTTGACAGCACTCTGTGGACGTTTCTAGAAGACATTGTCTGTTTGAAACACCATCAACCTGGAGATGGTGCTAATAGAGAAAGATCCACAAACACTTTTGCTTGTCTTGAATCTGCAGTTTCAGTCTGCCGTCATTGCTTTTATGTCAGTTTCAGTTATGGTAAAGTGTGTGTGTATGTTGATTGGGTGTGTTGGTGCATACTTGACTCCATGCTATTGGTTATGTGAATCATTTGTGAACTTACAAGCTTCCTGCTTCTGAGATGTTATAAGAAGAACTTGTTGAACTGTGTAAAACCTACTTTTCTTCGCAACTGCTCCGATTTAGCTCCAAATCAGTTCATCATCTTTATCTCCAAAATAGACAAACCGATATTATTACACATGAATGTACACTTCCATTCAAAAGTTTGGGATAAATAAGATTTATTTTTAAATACTTTTATTAAAGGATTAATTTACCCAAAAATTAAAATTCTGTCATTAATTACTCACCCTCATATCATTCCAAACCTGTAAGACCTTCATTCATCAAGTTATTTTTGATGAAATCCAAGAGCTTTCTGACCCTACATAGACATCAACACAACTACCATATTCAAGGCCCAGAAATGTAGTAAGGACATCGTTAAAATAGTCCATGTGACATCAGTGGTTCAACCTTAATTTTATGAAGCTACGAGAATAGCTTTTGTGCGCAAAGAAAACAAAAATGACTACTCTCGTATCTTCATAATATTAATTTAATTCAATTCAAGTTTTTTTTATAGCGCTTTTCACAATGCAAATCGTTGCAAAGACACTTTACAGAAAATTAAAGTTTCTACATTATATTTAGTAATAGCTTATCAGTGGTGACTATCTCAAGTTGATGTCCATATGGCATTAATGCACGGTAAAAATCAAGCAGTTGTGACATGTAATCAAACAGAGGTTGAACCCTATTAACAGCAATGATTATATGTTGCGATCAAACTTATAGCAAAATTTGGTAGTTTTGTATGTTGTCTGAGGGTTGGCATCATATGAGGTATTAAGGTTGAACCACTGATGTAACATGAACTATTTTAACGATGACCTTACTACATTTCTGGGCCTTGAACGTTTCAGTTGTATTGCTGTCTATGCAGGGTCAGAAAGCTCTCGGATTTCATCAAAAATATCTTAATTTGTGTTCCGAAGATGAACGAAGGTCTTACGGGTTTGAAACGACATGAGGGTGAGTAATTAATGACAGAATTAGCATTTTTGGGTGAACTATCCCTTTAATACTTTTATTCAACAAGGATGCATTATATTGATCTAAAGTAACAGTGAGACATGTTGCAAAAAATTATGTTTCAAATAAATAAATGCTGTTCATAGCAATTTCATCAAAGAATCCTGAAAAAGTATCATGGTTTCAACTAAATATTTCGCAGCACAACTGTTTAACATTGATATCTGTAAGAAATGTTTCTTGAGCACCAAATCAGCATATCAGAATAATTTCTGAAGGATCATGTGACTCTGAAGACAGAAATAATGGCTGCTGAAAATTCAGCTTTGTCATCACAGGAATTAATTACACTTTAAATTGTAATCATATTTCACAATATTAATGTTTCTGTATTTTTTATCAAATAAATGCAACCATAAGGCATAAGAGACGTCTCCAAAACAAAACAAAAAATCTTACTCACCCAAAATTTTTAACTGTGGTGAAATAATCTCTTTCATAAAATAATTATGACGCTATAGAATAGCAAATAATTTTTTATCCTGGTAATACAAGATTGGTTGTTTTAATTACTCCTTAAAAATCATGTGATTTATATTATTAAGCGTTGCATGCTATTTAACTACTAAAGTGACTTATAAATGTGGATATCACATGCGTAGAGAACCAAGAAGTGATTACTTTAATAGTGCAAAGTAAGTAAATAAACATACTGTAAACATTTGAGATATATTGAAGGGGATGATTTTGCTTGACCTCAGTATGGAGGAAGGAGGACACACACAGCGTGTCTTAATTATAACATTTATGACAACTAGGCAAAACCATGTCATACTTGTTGATAAGATTTTCCTCTCACCTTCTATGTTTCAGATGGTTCCTTATCCCCCTGTTTAAACCTTTCTTGAACCTTAAAAAGCATGAACATGACTCATTGATCTACCTTTTCTCATTCCCTTTCTCTCTTTCTGACTCAGGTGTGAGGAGTTATTTGAAGGAGGCTTTGGTCAGCATCATCTCTGTTCATGCTGAGGTGAGATGCTCAAACCTTCAGTTCAACAAATCGCCCATCTGCTTTAAAAGATGCTCTGATAGACATCTTAAACTTTAAGAATGCCACCTTTTCTGTTCCAAAACCTTGTGAGCTCTTTACATAGACAGCATTTAAAAGCTTTATGTTTACACTTTCAATTCTAAAAAGTAAGCAGCAACAGTGTGTTTCATTATAAGGTACCTTGTTTTGGCCAAATTCTAAGACAGCATCACATGTTGTCTTAGTGGATAAGATAATCCCAGAATTCAATGTGACAAGCTTGGTGGACAAAAAAAAATCATGACGAAACGTACAGTCAACTGTAAAAATACACTATTTGAGGGGTTGGTTACAATTTTTAATGAACATTTCTTAAAGGGATAGTTTACTTGTCCTCAAGCCATCCTAGGTGTATATGACTTTCTTCGTTCAGACGAATGCAATCGGAGTTACATTAAAAAATGTCCTGGCTCTTCCAAGATTTATAACGGCAGTGAATGGTGGCTGAGATCTTGAAGCCCAAACAAGTGCATCCATCCATCATGATAAGTACTCCACACGGTTCCGGGAGATTAATAAAGGCCTCCTGAAGCGAAGCGATGTGTTTGTGTAATAAAATAATCCATATTTAAAACTTTATAAACCGTAATATCTAGCTTCTACTAACTGTCGTATGTGCATTCACGAGAGAGTGGCATTCCAGCGGATGACGTAGGAAGTATGCGTAGCATAAGCTCCGATGAGAATATGCTAGTCTCGTGAGAACCAAGTTTTGTTTACAGAAAGGAAGGTCTCCTCTTTTCTTATATCAAAATCCTCTGTACTTCTAATTCATGACCGGTGTTTTGTTTTGCTCTCTCCGCTGCGCTTCCAAGTTTGGAACACTTCTCACCAGAGCTTACGCTATGCCTACATCCTACGGCATCCACTGGAACGCCACTCTTTAGTGAACATACGTACGACAGTTAGCGGAAGCTAGAAATTACGGTTTATAAAGTTTTTAATATGGATATTTTTCTTACACAAAAACATTGCTTCACTTCAGAAGGCCTTTATTAACCGCCCGGAGTCGTGTGGAGTACTTTTTATGATGGATGGATGCACTTTTTTGGGCTTCAAAATCTCAACCCCCATTCACTGCTATTATAAAGCTTGGACATTTTTTTTATATATCTCCGATTGTATTCGGAGTATTAAGTATTAAGCTGACCAAGGCTGTATTTATTTGTTTATTGTGCTATAGAAAAAAACAGCAATATTGTGAAATATTATTATAATTCAAAATTAATATTTTTTATTTCATTGTATTTTAAAATGTAATTTATTCCTGTGATTGGAAAGCTGAATTTTCAGCAGCCATTAATATATTCATTTTGCGCTAAAACATATTGGTGAAATTAATAGACCGTCTCAAAGAATCTGTTTTTTTTTTTGCTCTTTCAGGTTTTCACAGTTTCCAAGGAGCTGGTTTCTCGTGTTTTATCAAAGATCATTGAGGCTGTAGCTGAAGAAATGAGCCGTCTGATGCAGTGTGTGTCCTCCTTTAGTAAAAACGGTGCACTGCAGGTACAAGTCATCGGGACAGTCAACATTTAATCTTAAGGTGTTGAAATCCACATCATAATTTTTCACCATCATTAATATTTCTCTCTCTAGGCACGTCTGGAAATCTGTGCGCTGCGAGACGCCATAGAGCTGTACCTCACATCAGAGAGTCTGTAAGACATAAACACGTTCAACACAGATGTCTTAATACAATTAAAACCAAAAAGTGTTAGTATGATAATGTGGGTGTGTGATGTTGTCTCATATGTCTCCTCTGTGTCTCAGCACTAGTTTTAAGCAGGCATTGGAAGCTCTACCACAGCTACAGAGTGGAGCTGACAAGAAGTAAGTTATCACAGTTTCAGTCAAATACATGCTGAATGTTATACTTCACACTGAAAAACTTTAACATTTAAACAAATGTTAGTCATCAGAGATGATGATAATAAGAGCTGAGCTCAAATGTCATGACATGACTTGTCCAAGTTACCTTGTTTGGTTCAGTCACGTAGCAAATTAACTCAAAATGGACATTTATATAAATAATTACAATTAATTAAGATTGATTATAATTATTTATATCAGCTGCTAGTAGTAACTGTAGCAGAATTGATATTACAATCAACTAATCTGTTCGTCCAGCGAACATTCAGTGTAATTTCATATCAACTCTTAAGAAATGTTATTTTTCTGGCCACAGAAAATAACTTTCTTACAGTACTAATGCAATAGAGCGTGTAGCAAGATCAGGAATCATTTAAGTAACATTGATCTGTATGCAGTGACAGAATCAAAAACTCACAAATACATACACAGGGAAGTTAAAGTGGATGAATGAAATCGTTTGAGAAACCAGAGAGTGCAGCTATGGAAAATGGGTCAGTTAACCATTGAGCAGAAACCATCAGTTTTGCAATGGGGTCTACAGCTTATACTAAACCTCCGTTTCATTTAGTTATAGTCATATATAGTCATATAGTTATATTGGTGAGTCTCGTACCGGCAGGGATTGTAGGTGGGGGGAGTGAATGTACAGCGCTCTCTCCCACCTTCAATACCACGACTGAGGTGCCCTTGAGCAAGGCACCGAACCCCCAACTGATCGCCGGGCACCACAGCAAAAGTGGCTGCCCACTTCTCCGGGTGTGTGTGCGTGTTCACTGCTGTGTGTGAGCACTAATTCCGAGTATGGGTCACCATACTTGGCCATAAGTCACTTTCACTTCACTTTTTTTTTCTTTTTTTTTTTTTTTTTAATGTATGATACTTGCATTGCCTTGGTCGTTGAACGAGCATCCGGATGCAGTCTCAGATGAAAGTCTTGATGATTTGGCGGTGTTGAAGGATGTTATTCTGAGTCTGTTGCGGTCAGGAGAGTTTTCTCCCAGGTGAAAAGTGAAGACATGGCTGTAGTCGAGGCCCTGGGACTTAATGGTTGTCTCATATGTCTCCTCTGTGTCTCAGCACTAGTTTTAAGCAGGCATTGGAAGCTCTACCACAGCTACAGAGTGGAGCTGACAAGAAGTAAGTTATCACAGTTTCAGTCAAATACATGCTGAATGTTATACTTCACACTGAAAAACTTTAACATTTAAACAAATGTTAGTCATCAGAGATGATGATAATAAGAGCTGAGCTCAAATGTCATGACATGACTTGTCCAAGTTACCTTGTTTGGTTCAGTCACGTAGCAAATTAACTCAAAATGGACATTTATATAAATAATTACAATTAATTAAGATTGATTATAATTATTTATATCAGCTGCTAGTAGTAACTGTAGCAGAATTGATATTACAATCAACTAATCTGTTCGTCCAGCGAACATTCAGTGTAATTTCATATCAACTCTTAAGAAATGTTATTTTTCTGGCCACAGAAAATAACTTTCTTAAAGTACTAATGCAATAGAGCAAGATCAGGAATCATTTAAGTGACATTGATCTGTATGCAGTGACAGAATCAAAAACTCACAAATACATACACAGGGAAGTTAAAGTGGATGAATGAAATCGTTTGAGAAACCAGAGAGTGCAGCTATGGAAAATGGGTCAGTTAACCATTGAGCAGAAACCATCAGTTTTGCAATGGGGTCTACAGCTTATACTAAACCTCCGTTTCATTTAGTTATAGTCATATATAGTCATATAGTTATATTGGTGAGTCTCGTACCGGCAGGGATTGTAGGTGGGGGGAGTGAATGTACAGCGCTCTCTCCCACCTTCAATACCACGACTGAGGTGCCCTTGAGCAAGGCACCGAACCCCCAACTGATCGCCGGGCACCACAGCAAAAGTGGCTGCCCACTTCTCCGGGTGTGTGTGCGTGTTCACTGCTGTGTGTGAGCACTAATTCCGAGTATGGGTCACCATACTTGGCCATAAGTCACTTTCACTGTGCAGCTATGGAAAATGGGTCAGTTAACCATTGAGCAGAAACCATCAGTTTTGCAATGGGGTCTACAGCTTATACTAAACCTCCGTTTCATTTAGTTATAGTCATATATAGTCATATAGTTATATTGGTGAGTCTCGTACCGGCAGGGATTGTAGGTGGGGGGAGTGAATGTACAGCGCTCTCTCCCACCTTCAATACCACGACTGAGGTGCCCTTGAGCAAGGCACCGAACCCCCAACTGATCGCCGGGCACCACAGCAAAAGTGACTGCCCACTTCTCCGGGTGTGTGTGCGTGTTCACTGCTGTGTGTGAGCACTAATTCCGAGTATGGGTCACCATACTTGGCCATAAGTCACTTTCACTTCACTTTTTTTTTCTTTTTTTTTTTTTTTAATGTATGATACTTGCATTGCCTTGGTCGTTGAACGAGCATCCGGATGCAGTCTCAGATGAAAGTCTTGATGATTTGGCGGTGTTGAAGGATGTTATTCTGAGTCTGTTGCGGTCAGGAGAGTTTTCTCCCAGGTGAAAAGTGAAGACATGGCTGTAGTCGAGGCCCTGGGACTTAATGAGACCCACACGAGCAGCAACCAGAAGACGAAGCAGAAGATGAAGATCTAAGAGATATTAAAAGGCCTCACTACATCAGTGACCTCCCTGATGTAGTGAGGCCTTTTAATTTCTATGGCGGTCACAGCTCCAGGGGGTCAGTGAGCCAATGGTGACTTAAATTTAGGAGGGAAAGTTCACGACTCTTTGTCTTCGAACATGGTATTTTGCATATGTAACTGGATTGGGTGCTGATGCAAAAACTATTAAAGATTCTTGGAACACATATATGTTGCATAGGTATCAACATATAATATATATCTCATTTAGATAATCAAAACACGAATTCATAGATACCAAACGTGGTATAGGTGAAGTTACACTAACTAGTGGTACTATCATAAGCATGCATAAAACAGTATGCAATATACGAGTAATAATACACACAATGACCAATGATCTGTTTAATTGTGTGTCTGATTTGTCCAGGTGTAACAGTCATCTGAAAGGAACTTCTTGGTATTTAAATTTGTCTCATATGCTATTGATTAATTGCCATGCGATGGACCACTTTTTTAATTTCTATGGCGGTCACAGCTCCAGGGGGTCAGTGAGCCAATGGTGACTTAAACTTTAGGAGGGAAAGTTCACGACTCTTTGTCTTCGAACATGGTATTTTGCATATGTAACTGGATTGGGTGCTGATGCAAAAACTATTAAAGATTCTTGGAACACATATATGTTGCATAGGTATCAACATATAATATATATCTAATTTAGATAATCAAAACACGAATTCATAGATACCAAACGTGGTATAGGTGAGGTTACACTAACTAGTGGTACTATCATAAGCATGCATAAAACAGTATGCAATATACAAGAAGAGTAATAATAGACACAATGACCAATGATCTGTTTAATTGTGTGTCTGATTTGTCCAGGTGTAACAGTCATCTGAAAGGAACTTCTTGGTATTTAAATTTGTCTCATATGCTATTGATTAATTGCCATGCGATTGACCACTTTGGGGGGTGTAAATCATAAATCACTGAGCAAGTCCTGATAATATAGATCACTTCAAGGTATGAAACTGTTAAAACTACTGGGCAAGCAGATTCCATTGTGATTGATTTGCATTCAAAGTGGGCTGCCTTAAGATACTAAAGTGCAAATGACTTGTAATAGACTTGGAAGCATCCATTTGAATGGGTTGAAAGTTTTAAACCGATCAGTAATGTTTTGGATCGTATGCCATCATTTTCCAGCCAGAGTGTGTTTATGAATTTATAGCTGTTATGGAGAAAATACATTACCAAATATAACTGAAAATAATAATAAAAAGTACTTTACTTTTACGTTTAAGCAAATACATATTTTTAACACATACACTAACATTTAAAGTTTGGGGTTGGTAATGTTTTTGAAAGAGGTTTCTTATGATAACCAAATACTGTGTTTATTTGATCGAAATACATTTATACTATCATACATTATACTATCATCAATACTACTGTGTCAATATATATTTAAAAAAATAAATGTAAATTATTCCTGTGGTGGCAAGGCTGAATTTTCAGCAGGCATTACTCCAGTTTTCAAGCATCACATGATCCTTCAGAAATCATTCTAATATGCTTATTTCCGGCTCAAGAAACATTTATTATTATTATCAGTGTTGAAAACAGCTGAGCTGCATAATGTTTTTGTGGTAACCATGACACATTTTTTCAGGATTTTCTGGTGAATAGAAAGTTAAAAAATAACAGCTTTTATTTGAAATAGAAATCCTTTTTTTAACAAGGTACACTCTTAAAAATAAAGGTGCTTCAAAAGGTTCTTCACAGCGATGCCATAGAAGAACCATTTTTGATTCCACAAAGAACCATTCAGTCAAAGGTTCTTTAAAGAACCATCTCTTTCTTACCTTTTTATAATCTGAAGAACCTTCTTTCGCCACAAAGAACCTTTTGTGAAACAGAAAGGTTCTTCAGATGTTAAAGGTTCTTTATGGAACCATTTAGACAAAAAGGTTCTTCTATGGCATCGTGAAGCACCTTTATTTTTAAGAGTGTACAAGTCTTTACCCTCACTTTTAATCAGGTTAATGTGTCCTTGTTTTAAAAAAAAGAATTGAGCGGATTGTCCTGGTACAATAGTGCAATAAGTACAGATATCAGACATATTTAAAATAACTACAGATGTTTAATGATAATTTTGTTTATTGATGTTAAATTTGGCTTGTTTAATAGTTTCCATTTTTTTCTAATACATCTCTATCTCTCTCTTTTTTCTTAGACTCTTGGAGGAGCTACTGAATAAGTTTAAGAGTAGTATGAAGCTACAGCTTAATTGCTTCAAGCCTGCCTCTTTTCAGCCTGTGAAGCGATAAGCCTTCACAAATCCCCAACATTTCAACAGCGCCTCTGAGTTGTAACACTAAGACACCATTTCAGTTTTAAAAACCATTCAAAAGTCAATTTAGTGCCACTAATATACCATTTTCTACTTGCTGAATTACACTTGTTTTCTTGTGAGCATGTAGTGGCCTGTTGATAATTAACATGCTCATTAATCTGAAAAGTTGCACTGCCTCTTTGTCCAGATGCAGATTAAAAGCCTAAATAAAATTGTGCTCTTGCGCAGTGGGTTTTCTGCAAATGTTAATGTGCAAGACAGTTGCTAGAGTAATTGCAAGATATATGTTTTTGTGAGTGTGAGAGTGAGTTTTCCTCTTAGTTAGTAGAGGAAACTGTTGAGTTCTGAAATGACTCTTTTTATCAAGAGAGTCGTTTTGTGTTGAAGTCTATTATGACCACACGTCAGCGATTCATGCACACACCCTGTCTAGTGTCAGACAGAAAGATGCACACCCTGCCCCTCCTCGGCAATGCGGGGGTAATTTTACCTGTCCCAGGAGGAAGTGTTCAGTATTGGGAGGTGTCCTTTACTGTAAACTGCTATTAAATGCTGTGTAACCCAGCATTGGCATGTGGTTTAGGAGTTTACTATATAACTGACTAGAAAACAAGATGAGTTGAAAGTTCTCGCAGGCTGCCAACATGCCATCAGAAACTCTCCACAATGATCTGAATATTTGTTTCTACTTTTGTCTCATCATAACTCATTCCGTTATTTTCCCAACACTCAGTGTTGTTTGTTGATATCTATTCTTCTAAATTTAGAACGCTTGACACCCACTCATTTAAGGGAAGCAATTTGACAGAACAGCGTCAAAGCCTCGTGCGGCACCAGGTGAAAGAGTGGGTGTATTGATCTCAGGCTGTACAGCTTAAGGGAAGTTTTTAATGATTGCACCTTTCCGCTCTGTAGGCAGCGGAAAATGATCCAAAACATGTTTATGTGCTAATGTGGAGCCGTGAGTCCATAAACAGTGGAAAACTCGAAGAAGTTTTGTTTATGTAAAACATCTCGAAAGTTTCTCAGGATGTCCCATGCATCCCAAAGCTAACAATCCCGTACTATAGCATAGTTTCAAGACCTTTTGACCTAATTAGTTACTTTTCAAAGAAAATCAGAATTTTACGTCGTACACAACATAGTTCATTATAGCTTTCAGGGCAACAAAACAACAACCAATGAGACATTCTGGCTGTTTTCATTGAGAAGAAAGAATAAATAATACTTCTGTCAGTCTGCCTCTTCCTCTGTGATGTCACCAAGTTAAGACTGCCCGCACCATCCTGTCTCCAAACCACAAACACCATCCTGTGTGTGTGCTGTCATTCGCTTACACACACCATCTTATATTCTCTGCAGATAACATATTGCTTCTGTTCAAGGTAAACGAGGGCTTGTCGTCCCACCAGATCCACACACGTTCGTGGGGATTCCAGTGTTTATAGTGGGGGCTAAAAGTATTCCCCTCTTGCATTTTACAAAGGCTTAGCTTAGTTAACCACAGTCAGCCCACCATTGATGGAGAGACTCCACTTCTGTCGTTTTAGAGATAGTTCTCTCCAGTAGAAGTGAAAATTAACTTCAAAGCAAAATTAGTGGAAAGAGAGTAAAGGAGCGCTATAATTTTGAGATTGACTACTATTCAAAAGTTCAGGGTAGCTAAGATTTTTTCATGTATTTGAAAGAAGTCTCTTATGTTCACCAAGGCTGCACTTATTTGACCCAAAATATAGTAAAAACTTTAATACATTAAGTATCATTTGCACCTTTTTACAAAGGTGTGTTTGAACTAAGAAACTGATGTTTCTTTCAGGCTGTAGATCTGCTGAATATCAAATGGTACCATAGCTTCATGTTTTTATTTCTCTTCTTTTTACTGCCTAAGCTTTAACCCTTTTCCTATGCCAACTGTATGCGTGTGTATGTGTATGTTAGACTAGTTTAAGTGTTTATGTAGTTAATAAAGTCTTACTTGTATCACGCTTGAGGTTGTTCATTGTTTGCTCATAACCGCAGTCCCTAATCATGCAGATTTTTGCTACATGCTCTGAGGAGTATTGTACAGTAAGAAAGTTATTTCCCTTAACCAGGAAATTAACGTTCTTAGAATTGACAGACAGTTGACCCTGAGAGGTCAAGTAAATACTTACAGCGGATCTAAATATTTATAATTAATTATGACTAGTTATGATTAATTATTCATATTTCCCCTTTGAGCTGATTCGCTACAATTGTGAAATATTATTACAGTTTAGTATAACTGTTTTCTATTTGAATTCATTTTTAAAATGTAATTTATTCTTGTGATGGCAATTCCAATTACTCAAGTTTTTAGTGTCGCATGATCTTTCAGAAATCATTGCATTATGTTGATTTGGTGTTGAAAAATTTCTTATCGTTAACTATTGAAAACAGTTGTGCTGATTAATAATTTAGATGTAATTTTTACCCTGTACAGGTCAGGAATCAAGAGCACATACACTCAGTTTTTCACTTTTTTTATTAAAACCAAAGGTGGCATCAATTTTGAGGCATTTTGAGCATCTCAGTAACAAAAAAAAGCTAAAGTAGTAGAATAAAAAAGTAGACAATTTTGTTATAATTTTACCCAAACATGTTTATAAAAGAACTGCAATTCGAAAACTGAAAGGTTATCACTTTTTCCCTAAATGCGTAGCCTTTGGATTTTTATATTCTGAATGCAGCTCAATCAAATGTAACAAGAAGCAATGAGTCACAGCTAATATTCACACTTTACATTCTGTTGTCATATCAGCAAACAGCCCACACATATATTGACATAATACAATCATTCATCCTTGTGAGTTTTACACAGATTTGCATCATTCTCAGTATTAAACATGACAACAGTCTTGCATTTGATGTTGTCTGTTATCATTCTAGATTATCCTGGTGGGATTCAGCTCAGTTCTAGTGTCCCGAAAGGCTCTAGGTGCACAGCAGAATGGGTTATTACTTAGTCCTGGGTTTTTAAGTTTGAGATTTTTCACTGTACATATTTAAAAACCCTGGGTTAACATTCCTGTTTGCATATTGATTGGACAAGTATGGCACTTGGTGAACTTGTCCATCATCTGTTCATAAGCAAAGCTTTGTAACCCTGAGTTAAAAGTGGTGCTAACCCCCTTTGCAAATTACAAGTGTGAAAGTAGCTTAACCCAAAAATGAAAAGTCCGTCATCATTTACTCACCCTCATTTCATGGTAAACCTATATGGCTTTCTTTCCTCTGTGGAACAAAAAAGCATAACATTTCAGAAATGTCTCAAAGTGTTTTATTTTTTGACCATGCAATGGAAGTCACTGGGTTATTTGGTTCCCAATGTTCTTCAAAATACCTTCTTTTAACGGAGAGGGATATCAAATGAAATAAACGCTTAGATTACCTGCCATCATCTAACGCTCCGTTCAAATCTTTCTAAACACAATTTAATAAAGCAGCAGTCACTCCAGACTTTGAATACACAGAATTTCTACAGACACTTTAACGGCTGTAATTTCGTCTTTTTAAAAATCATAATTCAACATATATCAAAAATGTTAAAATATGCAGTCTGCTCCACATGTAAAGTTCTTTTAATTCAGCTAAGAGGACACACCATGATTTATCATTCTTCTATTGGTCACACGTCTTCACGTGATACAAATTCGCAGGTCAGAGTTTACCAAACTTTCTTTTCAATCTGATCACTGAAATCATCCAGATGATCCTCAAAATCATTATCAGAAATATCAATAATTAAAGATCAATCCAGCCTGTCACTGTCTCTGTGTGTTTATGATTATGTACCTGAGAGGGCCATAGCCTCAGCAGATCTCATGCTGGTGTCCAGGGTTAAGGGTGACAGCTGTGGATCAGATGCATTGCAACTGTAGAAAGAGCCACTGAACTGGTACCCTGCACATACAGGAATATGTCAATGCAACTGCATGCTACCTGAACTTACAGTAATTGTACTTGCTCTCTCAAACACACAAAGTACCAGGGTCCCAGCGTGAAGTGTAGGGGCTCTGGCTGTAAGAGATCTCAGAGAGGGTGGAGTAATCCCTCCATCCTCTGTCTGCTGGAGAAAGATAGTTGCACACCTGTAATGACAAGCACATAATAGTGATCTGAAGTGCAAAGATAGGAACACCCAAAGCAAAGATGATGTTTGACTCTAACCTGAGATGGTGCTGGTGGATAAGGTGGGTGTATTGGATAACTGGGTGAGCTTGCATTGGACTGTGAATCTTCAAGAGATCTGGATACTGCAACATTTAAATATGAAATATTTTAATTGCTTTTGATCAGATATCTAAAGAAGTATTTATAAGACAAATGGCAGCAAACAGCTGTTCTACTCTGTTTGATGTCATCTGATGTTTTTCTCCTCCCTTGCCTTTTTTGGATCCCACCGGAACAATCTTATACACTTTATAGGGGTCTGATATGTCAAGCTGACTGCGCTCCACAAGCTCCTCAAAGTCATTGCTCTTGTTAAGAGCACATCGAAGACGTGTTTTCCAAGTTGGTGGGTCAAGTTTGTCGATACCCTCCCGGTATTTGCCTTTGAATAGTGCCCAAGCCTGCAGAAAAGTGAGCAAACCAAGAGGCCAACATATGGGTTAATAAACCATAAGGATGTCCATAAAAAGGAGAAATATTTAAAGAAATCTAGTTTAAAATACATGTGGCAAGTTCCAAGAAAAGTAACCTTTGTTTTATGCTGGTTTCATAACTTTTTCACAAAAGTTTTGATTTACTGATTTACAGATTTACAGATGTGGAGTGGTGTGACCATTGTCCTTCCTTCCACCTTGAAAACACAACTTAATTTGTTGCTTTCAAATTTTTTCAAATATATTTTAGTGAGGTTTTGTTTTTTGTTTTTACAAAAACTGAATTTTTGAGTCTTGCAAATCAAGTTTGACCTGAAGAAAAAAAAGCACTTTCTCATAAAAAGTGCTATATATGTGATTATGCAAACACTACGTTATGATTTCAGCCTTTTTATGACATTTTAATCCAAAACAGTTACACCAGATATTAAAATTAATCGAACATATCGAGGTGAGGGAACTTGTAACCTTACTTTACCAAAAGAAAAATCAACTATTTTCTAAACAATTATAATTTAAATAAAATAATGTTGAAGAGCTATATATGAATATTATTTTAAGCTATCAATCATGGGAACCAGTTAACTTTTGATGTAAGACATAAAAGCCTGTGATAAATCGTTACATGGCAGACAAAATCTTTTTTATCATGCCATCATCATCTGTTTTGATGAATGAAGGCTACTTTTCAAAAGACTTATATAGATTGAATTATTATTATTATTATTATTACTATTACCCTTGTCCCAGATCCAGACATTCCAATAATGAGAATTCATTATCTAAAATATGAGTTCTTACATGTTTTAAACTATAATCCAAAATAATAATAAATCACTTTAATTAGCCTATTTATTAGATTACATTTTTTTACCCCTCATATATTTGAGCTAAATAGCAAGGTAAACAGAGTAGTGTAACAACTACAAAGTATAACATATTTAGATTAAATAAATTTAGTTTTTTAAGTTAAGTTTAGCATGTGCAGGATTATGATGCATCAGCCAATGCTTTATAGGAAATAAATATGCTAATTTAGTTGTTATTACACAAAATGTCAAATATTAAAGGAGGGGTAAGATGGCCCCTACTGGGGAAGTTGTTCCCCCACCTGAGGTAGCCTAACTTTATCAAGTGTTATTAATGTAAAATACTAAATCAAATTAAAAAATGTATTTTGACAATTTAGCGAAAATGTTTGAAATGCACATCTAATTCATGGAAATATTAAATAATAATAATAGCCTAATGTTAAATAATAAGCCCACGAATTACAATAAGTATTACATTTTAAAATAATAATAACACTATAACAACATGCCACTTGGGTCCTTAAGTGCCAATTCTGGTCTAATTTGATCTTTTTCCTTTAAAATAAAAACTATAATTTTATTGTGCGTCAATAAACTTGTATTTGAACAGTTAGTGGGCGGATTAAATAAACTGAAGCGTGTTAAAATCATCCTGGCTAAAAGTGCCCATAGCTGAAGAGAAACAATAACAAGCTGAAGTTTTGTTGTTGTTGTTTTTAACAAGCTGAAGCTCGAGACTGAAACCTCCGACCCTAGTGATGTAATGTAAAGATGGCAGCGGCCTCGCCCAGAGTGGAAGGTAGTTTACACGTTTGTTTGCTTTGATAATTTGTTATTACACTGTAACCTGGAGCGCTCTCTTTGTTATAAAACAGCTGATTAGTTTATATAGGGTTGAATTATTTTATTATTTTCATCAACAACAAAGAGAAACACGGCGTTATTATAAGCGGTCATAGACACGAATAGTAATTCCGGTGTGATGGAGCAACTGGGGATCATGTTAGCTGGGGATGTGTGCGTGCATATGAGCTATTTCACGTCCCATTCCAGCAGATTCGTCTGATAACGATAGATTTTATTTACACTATTTAAAAATAGCAGGATGTTTGCATTAAGTGTAGATAGATGCTATTTATACTTAGTGGAAATAATGGCAGATACTCTACAAAATCACTCATTCCAGCCACCAATCCTGGTTGGGTCAGGCAAAATCATTAAGAATGTACCAACGTCTTTTCATTACAGCTTTGCAGTCGCTTTTGACGAATCTGCTGGAATGGGACGTGAAATAGCTCATATGCACGCGCACATCCCCAGTTAACGTGATCCCCAGTTGCTCCATCACACCGGAATTACTATTCGTGTCTATGACCGCTTATAATAACGCCGTGTTTCTCTTTGTTGTTGTTAATTCTGGGCGGTATAAATGTGATCATATGAGCTCATGTAATTGCGTTAAATTAAACGTTCGACCGTTTAAACGCGGAAGAACAGATGACACAATCAAAGGGAACTTCAGGGATCAGTTTCATTTGTCCCGAGCACTTTGTCAGAATGGCTGGAGGAAAGTGTGACTCTGATAATAATCAAGATTCTGACGACTGCGTGGAAGAAAATTGTATTTTCTGTAAAATCGCAAACAGAGACGATCCATCCACTGAGATACTGGCGGAAGTAAGTACATTTTTATCTACTTGCTTCATATGGCTCAACTGCTTCAAAGGTGAATTAGATTAGCAAATTCGCCCCTCTTTCTAAATATAAAATTATAATAATAGGCCTATATATATATATATATATAAGTTGATTGTAGTCATCAAGAAAGATGAACTGGGAAGGAAATATGATACGCAGGATTGGTTCCGTGTTGCTTCGAGAACCGTAACTTGCTCTGATCCGCGAAGCGCGTTATATAGAGGACAACCCGTTCTCGATGTATTTACTTTTATAATGACATTGTTTAATGAGTAATTTAGAGGTTTTCATTCAAATGACTTATTAAGTAGGAACGTTCACGTTCCGCTTCTGGAATAACATTATTGCCGGTGTTCCGGCGAATTCAGTTCCCCTGTTTCCCCCTCACAGCGCCTGCGCAACTTCGCAGTGTTGCCAAGTCCGCGGTTTTCCAGCGGTAGTTTTTAGCAGCAATTGGGCGTTTCTTTTTTAAATATCCTGGCAACCCTCAAACTTCAGTACTAAAATCATGACTTCATGATTTCGCCCGGGCTAAGCAAGTCAGCGTACTGAAGTTTCAGGGTTGCCAGGATATTTAAAAAAGAAACGCCCAATTGCTGCTAAAAACTACCGCTGGAAAACCGCGGACTTGGCAACACTGCGAAGTTGCGCAGGCGCTGTGAGGGGGACACAGGGGAACTGAATTCGCCGGAACACCGGTGTTGTCTAACTGTGACCAGTCCAGGGGTCGCCCGGTTTTCTGCGGAAGCGGAGCCGAGCGGTGCTGCTGTGAAAGAGGTTTCCTCTTAAGATTTGTTGTTATTTCGACAAGGCTTAAGTTGTTTAACAGAAACACACACACACTAACAATAACAATAACAATCAAATGGAAATGGGCGTCTGAACAAAAGAATGCCCCTAACGAAGGAATTTAACTGTCTAATTGTAATGTATGGTGTTACACTTCATAAAACAGGAAAGAGTTAGAATTAGCAGGAAATCTGACTCTATGTTGCGATTGAACAGGACGTCACGTACATTAATACGTATTTAATTACAAATGATCTAATTACCATGGTGAAATGAACGTTACTTGCAGAAAGACAGCAAAACCACCATAAGCTGACTTGCTTAGCCCGGGCGAAATCATGAAGTCATGATTTTAGTTCTGAAGTTTGAGGGTTGCCAGGATATTTAAAAAAGAAACGCCCAATTGCTGCTAAAAACTACCGCTGGAAAACCGCGGACTTGGCAACACTGCGAAGTTGCGCAGGCGCTGTGAGGGGGAAACAGGGGAACTGAATTCGCCGGAACACCGGTGTTGTCTAACTGTGACCAGTCCAGGGGTCGCTGTTCGGCGGAAGCGGAGCCGAGCGGTGCTGCTGTGAAAGAGGTTTCCTCTTAAGACTAGACAAAACGTCCATTGGACAGGCTAGATGTTGTCACGAGCATCTATTCTAAATGCTTGTATAGAAATGTAAACATTAAGGCTGCTGTTGTTGTCTAATGTGTTACTAATGGTTTCGTTATGAGTTACTGTTTACTGTAGTTACCCGATAATGTTGGAGATCAGTTTGTTCCTTACAAATGGATATGATAGAGTTGGCTAGGGTCACTGAATCTGACAAGTAAAAATTAATTGAAATGCTTTTATAGTAGCTACAGGAGGAAGTGCTTTGAAAAAGAAAAAGAAAAAGCGAAATGCTGTTAACTAATATGGTGACCATATGATTATCAAATATGAAAACGTAAATATAGTCATTTAATATTTATTATAAAATAGTTTGTTGAGGTTCTCAACTCTAATGGCCAAGTTGCATGAAACTGTGCTAGCTTATCTTAAAATAATTTTTGAGTCATATCTTCTGCTATGATCTCAGGAGGCGTGTGGTCATTTTTGATAGTCATTTCACCCTCATAAGTCAGTAGGGTCCAAAATCTGTACATACATATACGCAGTAGTGTGCATGTTAACAAAATAAACACACATCAATCTTAGAATACACATTATAAAGTCATTTACTTACTGTTACAAATTCACAAGGTTCCCCTCTGTTTTCTGTAACATAAATATACAATAATAATCCATGCTTTTATAATACAATTACATAATTAGTATTATATACTGTAAATGTCAAGGTAACTATAAATGTAATGTGATTTTTATTTTCTTACAGGATGAGGACATTGTTTGTTTCCAGGACATTGATCCAGGTGCACCTCATCATTACCTGGTTATACCAAAGAAACATGTCCATAGCTGTTTGTCACTCCAAGCTGATGATATAAATCTAGGTAAGATGATGTCTTTTTTGGATGTACATTTGATTATTAAATTGTGTATCACTGTTTTGTGAATGGCTTTGTATTTGTAGCCAGCAGAGGGTAGTAGCACAGAGAGTATTAAGTATTGAGCCCTGGTTTAATTAGCTTATTATTAGACTGACTATATATTAATTATAGTGATGATATTAACACACAATACAATTACAGTTAACAAACAATACCATATTGATGACTGGGTGAATGTTTCAATTAATTGATTTTGTATAAAACATTTATTTTTATAAGATAGAATATTAACATTCAGTGATTACATGGGATTTTTATATTTTTAATCTAAATGTGATTATCCTGAGCAGTGAAGAAGATGGCAGATATGGGAAGAGATGTACTGAAAGCCAGGAATGTCACAAATTTGGAAGACATCAGGTTTGAAGACAACACTACTATCATATTAATCAAGCATTTATTTGGATGAAGCAGTTATTAAATGAGAATATGACTGTATTTCAGTCTAGGTTTCCATGTGCCTCCTTATATCACTGTTCCCCACCTGCACCTCCATGTTCTAGCACCTTTCAGTCAATTGTTTAAATGGTCAAGGTGCAAGTATACAGCCATCTGGTACCTCACTGTGAGTAAACTGAAAACCTTTCAGATATTTCTTTGATTACACTTGGTTGTATAAGAATTTAAAGTTTTAAAAATGTATAATTGTTTCTCGTGTGTGTGTGTTGTCTTAAAGGAGGAGATGCTGCTTAAGGAACTGATGGAGGATAAAAAAGAAAACAATGGACATGTAACAATTGCATGCTGCCATGTGTAGCTATGTGAGCCTTATTACTGAACAAAAAACTTGAAATCACAAGGCACTTTAGTGAAGATCAGTGGTTTTCATTTTCATATTTTTTATATAATGCTAAAGTATTTTAAAGCATGGGATGGTATTTTTTTAAATTTGACAATTACTATTTATAACTAAAGTGTAATCTAAACAATAATGTCTAATGTTATTAAATGGATGGAAATGTTGATTTTTGTGTGATTGATTATTTATGTTAGTACACATTTTACATGCTATGTTGTGAAAGATTTATCATACAGTGAGCCATGTTTTCTTCAGTGTTCATGGTCATGTTCTTTACATATTGATCAGAAGGCCACATCCTGTCTTTAAGTGTGCGGTTCTTGGTGTGAATAAGCTGCTAAATGTGCCAAAGCACTACACATGCCAGAAACACATGAAATTAAGAAATATTTAAAAACTCAGAATTAATGGACAAAGGTTAAACGGACTTACAGTACAGTCATCGAAACATGGTAGCATGGATCATGCAAATTGTTTTTTTTTTTATTCATTGAAATTTAAAAAAAAATTGACCCTCTAACACTAGCATTTTCTATTGTTTCTATTCTGTCTATGCTTTATTCCTTCTATTTTATATTTATTATTAAAAAAAAAAAGCTTGCTACGTGTGCTGAGGTAGACCATCCGGGACCTGTCACGTCACTTACATATTGAATGAATGAAAACAATTTTCAGGAACAAGGAAATGTTTCTCATGTGATGTTTTATATCCAAATAATTTTTAAATCTATGTGTAAATAATCTATATATATATATATAAATAAATAAATAATTATATAATAACTATATAAAAGTCAAATATATCATATAAAAGTTATAGCTATATAATAGTCAAAAGTCCAGGCACTGTAAAATGTATAGATCAACAATGTGACAAGGCAATCATGTCAACACATTTAGCTTAAATTACTTTAAACCCCTAGACTGTTATTTTGTCTGTTTCCTCATTCTAGCTAAAGCAGACTAAAACGAGTGAAGATGTTTCCTTCATGGTCTCGCAGTAATTTCCCTGTTGTTTCATATGTAAGAAAGTCCACTGTGTGTACAAAAAGGTGAAACAATTGTTGATGATATTGTGTCTATCCCCTTGACCCATAAAGATGAAAGTATTTCATCTTTCCTTTCCTTATGTATTAAAAAATTATTCATTAAAGACTTGTAATGTATTGTTGGTCTACCTATCCACAAGAATATTTTCTGATAATCCAGTATACTAATTTCATTTGAAATACCGTAAAGACCAAACATTTTGCCACATGCAATTAATTTAATAATAAAGACAAAGCAAGTAAATATTATATAAGATCTTTTATTTAGCTGTTTTTTTAATAAACATTGCTTCAGAAAAACAAATTGATTGAAAAAACAGTGATCAACTTGCACTGAAAATATGGCAAAACATGGCAAATGCTTCATATTCCGGATGATTTAATCGAAAAGGGTCTAGAAAGTGCATATTCGACCACATTATAATAATAAGATATAATAATGTAAATTATGTTACTAAATTATAGCATATGCATATCTTGCAATACACAATTTCTAGCATAACAGATTAAAAGCTCATATTGCTTTCCTGTTAACTGTGACTTCAAACACTGGGTTTCAATGTCATTTACAGTACATGTTTACAGGTATCAAGCTGCAAATGAAAAGGCATTTTTATGAAGGCAAATAGGAAGGACTATATGTTTTGAAGTTGTGAAGACTTGTCTCTTTGATTTGTTTTAGTTGTTTAATTTGCTCTCAGATGTGTTATTGTTCACTTCAGTTCAGTAGTATCAGGTTTAATGATTTCTGAGAGAGCTTAGTTTTGAAAAACTATGGTCCATTTCGCTACATATCTCTGGCTACCCATTTTTAAAATGATAAACTGAAAAAAGTCAGTAGATAATGCAGCCCTCCAATGCGCAAGTCCTCACTGTTCACAATCAGTCAGTGTTTAGCGCATGGAAAGCATCCACAGAACATTTTCTTGAATGGGTTGTTATTGTCATGTCTCTTGGCCTGTCCCAGTTTGATAAGGACTTCACCAAGCATAGCATCGGTTTTCTGAACATTGTTTAAGATGTAGTCTGTCATGGGTCCTTGTTCCTCTACAAGCATAGCCACATCCAGGAACACTTCATGAAGGCTCTGGAGTCGGCTTTCTAAATCCAGCAGGTCACGATGTCGGCTCTCAATCTGGTTGAGTGCAGAACGAGCTGTTTTCCCTTCTGACATGATGTTATCATTGAAGATGTTCCACTGACCATTCTCCAGCATCTCCTCGATCTGATCACCTGTCACCTCTCGGCCCACAATCTCCATTTGCCTTTGAATATGACGCTTGCACGATTCTTTGTGATCCATCTCAGCATCATTGTACTCTGTCATTGCGTCTCGGAAGTTGTTGCTTAGGGTGGTGTACTGTGTTCGGGTGATTCTCGCCACAGCTGAGTTGATGCCATGCTCCTCTTCGAGCTTTTTGGTGTGGGCATCCATTTTTTGTAGACGTGCCAGAACATCCTGTCCACGTGTCTTGATGTCACCTACGATGACATTGGCATCCTGCTTTACGTGAGTTGTACGAGTCGGTTGGCTAAGTATACGGGTATTTTGGTCCCTGAGACGCTTCACCTCGAGGCGGATGAGCTGAATCTCACGCCTAGTGTCCTGAGCCTTATCGAGCACAGACTCCATCTCATCACTGTTGTCATAAATGACGGCCTGCTGGCTGAAACCCTCCTCCAGATCCACATTGCTGAAAGAGTCGGATTCCAGCTCCTCTAGATGGCTGTTAGACTCTGAAATGGTCTGAAGATGATCCAGTCTGTCCCTCATGATTGCTAGAAGGGAGAATGAATGGAAAAGGACACTCAGTGCCACCAGACGTGATGGGTAATATGCGATCTGGTGTAGGCTAAACAATCGAAAACAAAATAGCAAAATGATAACGTTCATATTTATCCCTCATATAGCCCTTGTTTTCCGGAATAAAATCATTGTCATTCCTTGTGTACCTTCTGAAACTGACTGTAAAGGGGGGAGATAATACTTCCTTATCAACACTGAAAAAGTCACACGTCTAACAAGTTCATCTGTGAAACTATTTCTGACTGCCGTCACTCACCAAACAAGTTTGAATGGATTGAACTGATAGTTCAGCTTTTGTTTCTTAACAAATGCTGTTCTCTTCAATTATTTTACAACGAAATGTATAAATAAGATACCTAAATATATCCAGCTTTATTCGAGCCACTAAAGCTTTACAATTTACAAATGTGTAAATCTGTCTCTTCTAGCTTCAAAAAATGTCAAATTAAAGATTTAATTAAGTTTTTTAAATTTGACTATTTGTTTCATTATAAAACAATGTTGTATAGGCTACATTTTAAAGCAGGGGTGCCCAAACTCGATCCTGGAGGGCCGGTGTCCATAAGAGTTTAGCTCCAACCCCAATTAAACACACCTGAACCAGCTAATCAAGCTCCCAAGGAATACTAGAAACTTAAAGGCAGGTGTGTTGAGGCAAGTTGGAGCTAAACTCTGCAGGACACCGGCCCTCCAGGACCTAGTTTGGGCACCCCTGTTTTAAAGCTTTTTACATGTTTACACTGACAACATTCAGGCTAAATTAACCATAAATCCGTAAAATAGAAGTGATGAGCTGAAGAAAAAAAAGGTGAAAAGAAAGAAAGAAACTCATTGTCATTCACTACAAAGTGCACTACCTTGTTTTTCCCCTGTTTTAAAGCTTTTTACATGTTTACACTGACAACATTCAGGCTAAATTAACCATAAATCCGTAAAATAGAAGTGATGAGCTGAAGAAAAAAAAAGGTGAAAAGAAAGAAAGAAACTCCTTGTCATTCACTACAAAGTGCACTACCTTGTTTTGTTAGTCCAAAATGATGACCGCTTCAGTCGATGTGTCATCTCAAGGCTGCAGCTCCATCCTCACTGCGCTGCAGCTGTCATTTCATGGGTGGGGAAAGGAATGCGCGTTCCAGGGCGTAACATTGACGCCAAACCTGTTTGCTGAACAGAATGTCAGACGTGTGACTCAGTAACACTTGACATAATCTCGACTGTTTTGCGAAATGGGACCAAGGACGATGTCATCTTCATGTCTTCCATGTCACATAATACATTTAATACAAATTTGTGCAATACTATGGTAGTCTTGAGTGGGACCCTGGCATGCAAAAAGGTTTGCAAAGTCAAGGATTCAAAAGTTTGAGCAACTTTACAGTGTATTGACAGTGTGGAAATAGATTACAGAGTTGACAGAAAGTAGATGATTATTTAACTAAAGAAAATAAATTAAAATCTTCGTCAAGAGTTTCGAATTGATCATTGTTCTTCTTATAACAGTATAATTGTACTAATTATTATACCTAATTATTAGGCTATACTAACCAATTAGTCATAGAATATGCATATTGGTTGTTTATACTAAATATGTCTTGTTTTTTCTTCTGTTAGCCTACGTGGCGGGGTAAAAGATTCGACTTTTCTGTCTATTTTCAAGCCTTTGTCAATAAATCTGTCTATTCTCTTTTAGTTAAACAACACGAACAGCGCAGGTGCAGGAGACTTTAAATGTACATCCAATAACGGGGACAAAAAATGTAACAGTTTGGTTTATTTCAAATAAAATCAGAAGATTGAGTGCACGTGTTGTGTACTTCGGTTCTCATCGCGTCTGAAGTGCTGCCCCCTGCCGGACATACTGGTCTCATCACACCTGACTTGGGGCGGGGTCTGTGTGCTACGTTATCACTCACGTACGGTGTTGGACAAGAAGAGGTGAAATGAGGTAAGTGCGCTTTTTATTTATTGGGCAGACAATAGCTTGATTTTCGTAACATGCAAAGCGGATTTTGTAAGGAATGCACACAGAAGAACATAATTTGAGGTAGGCCACAATGATGATAATGCTCGAATCACAGTATTTGTGTTGCCAAACATTAAACGAAGGTTAGGTTTCATTAAAAAGTGTTTAAAACACGTTCTCCACTGATACGATGCCTATATCAAGTCTGATTGTACGTATTTGGGATATACTAGATTGACGCATTTTTGTAAATGTACTAGGCTAAATCGATAGACTTTTTTTCTTCATTTATTGAGTATAACAAAATAGGCTACAATTAATATTTTTATTTGTCTTCTCTTCAGATTATTAAAAAAATGCACAATGATTGAGCAGAGTCAAATAGAAAACGCAATGAGATTAAAACAAAGCTTATGTTTTTAAACGTGGACCTACAAACAAGTCTATCTTGTCTGACAGGTTTTTAGTGACACAAGTGTACTTTTCCTCAAGTCAGACGTTTTGACGGTTTTTGTGGGTTACGTCTAACAACGAAAATTCTGTTTTCAAGAGTTATTTGTTGTTGTCACCCATAAATAGCCTTCTGTATATTTTACCAGCTGCTGTTTATGTGTGTTCGCTTTGACATGAATTTATAGACGAAAATGTTTTCAACTTTTCAGTCTAATATTCCAGTCATGAGGGACAGACTTGGCCACCTCCAGGCAGTATCACTGTCTAGTGGCACGGCAGCAGAGCATGAAACTGCCCAAGCTCTCTCTCCATCAGAAAACACAGACTGTGATGACCCTCCTCAGGACCCCAGCACCAACCACGACCTGGAAGCTGTCTTTGATGAGGCACTGGAGGCTCGCCGTCAGATTCAGTACATCCGCCTTGAAGTAAAGCGTCTCAGGGATCAAAACTCACATATTTTTACAGGCGCAGTCTGCTCTAGTGCATCTAATACCAGTGACTCCAATGCTATTGCAGCTGACATCAAAACTCGTGGACAGGAGATGCTCGTGCACCTTCGCAAGATGGATTCCCACAGGAAAGAGTTAGAGGAAAAGTATGGCGTCAATTCACCGGTGACAAGAATCGCCCGAACACAGTACGCCATCATAAGCAACAGTTTTCGTGATGCCATGGTGGAGTACAATGACGCTGAGATGAGCCATAGGGAGTCCTGCAAGGCATATATTCAACGGCAGATGGAGATTGTGGGGCAAGAGGTCACAGGTGACCAGATCGAAGAGATGTTGGAGAGCGGTCAGTGGAACGTCTTCAGTGAGAATATGGTTTCAGAAGGTAAAACGGCACGGTCTGCACTCATCCAGATCGAGAGCCGACATACGGAACTGCTACAGCTGGAGAGACGCATTCAGAGCCTTCATGAGGTGTTTCTGGATGTGGCCATGTTAGTAGAAGAGCAGAGCTCAATGATAGACTACATTCACACCAATGTTCAGTCAACAGAGGTGGAGGTCAGGGATGTCCTAGTGAAGCTGGAGCGAGCCAAGAGATATGATAGGAATAATCCATTTAAGAAAATGTTCTTCTGGAAACGATGAGAAGGACACAGATATCACAATGTCAAATAAATATATATTAAGTGATCAGATTTTTTGGTTTGTATTACGTTTTTATATGTGTATTATATGTGTTATTTAGGCAAATGTATATTCATCTGAAGAAAAACAAACACATATCACACTAATTTTGAATATAGACTTCACCCTGAAATAAATCTGTCAGTTTTATAAATATTTCTGTAGTTTGTGGGTTTTTTGGCACCAGAATTTTCTCAAATATGTTCTTATATTTATATTAAACATGCATGTTTGCATCTTGCTGATTTGACAAATAACTCATTTTGTGCCTTTTGGAGATTCAGAAATCCTTTATTTCTGTAGTTTGCACTTTTCAAGTGTTGAAAAGTGCTTTGTATTCTTATGTGAAATGTATCTTGTCAATATAACTACATTTTATAGATAAATAAGTGAGGCATTGGATGACTGGTTAGTTGTAATGGATCTAACTATTTCATGTGTATGAACATCTGTATCAGCTGTATCTCATTCAGTCTGCATTCATTCAAAGTTTCGTAGCAGATGTCATGAATTAGAGTGTAATTTTGTTACACTAATTAGATCACATGTGCCTACCTCATGTGATATGTGATTGTCTCCTACTCACAACTATTAACACATTAACTAACACATGCCAAGATACAAAAAACCTTTCTATGTTTTATGGTAAAGAAAGTTGCTAAAAGGACATTATTTTAAGATTGTGTTCCAGGGACAACTGTGCTATGTATGGTGATGCATTATAACACAGGAAGATGTGCTGTAAATTCTGTTGATTCACCTACATACACTACCATTCAAACGTTTGCGGTCAGTAAGACTTCTTTTTTGAAAGAAATTAATACTTTGATTAAGCAATGATGCATTAAATTAATCAAAAGTTACTGTAAACATGTATAATGTTATAAAATATTTTTATTTCAAATAAATGCTTTCCTTTTTAATGTTCTATTTATCAAAGAATCTTTTTAAAAGGGTATCACTGTTTCCACAAAAATATTAAGCAGCAGTAGTTTTCTACATCGATAATAAGATAATTGTTTCTTAAGTGCCAAATTAGCATATTAGAATGATTTCTGAAGGATCATGTGACACTTAATGTTTTAATGTAATGACTGTTGAAAATTTTGCTTTTCCATCACAGAAAGAAAAAAACCCCATTATATATATATATTGAATATATATATTAAATATATTGAATAGAAAACATGTATTTTAAATTGTAATATTTTACAATATGCATATATATGCATTACTATATATATATATATATATATATATATATATATATATACATACATACAGAGATAGACAAAAATATGTACACACACATAATAATTAATAATAATTTATGCATTTAGCAGACGCTTTTATCCAAAGCGACTTACAGTGCATTCAGGCTATACATTTTTTACCAGCATGTGTGTTCCCTGGGAATTGAACCTACGACCTCATATATATATATATATTAATATATATATATATATATATATATATATATATGCATACATACAGTGATGGACAAAAATATGTACACACACATAATAATTAATAATAATTTATGCATTTAGCAGACGCTTTTATCCAAAGCGACTTACAGTGCATTCAGGCTATACATTTTTTACCAGCATGTGTGTTCCCTGGGAATTGAACCTACGACCTCTAACACACACACACACACACACACACACACACACACACACACACACACTTGTGAAAAGTGGGGACATCCCATAGGCGTAATGGTTTTTATACTGTACAGACCGTATATTCTATTGCCCTACACCAACCCTACCCCTAAAC